AATGATAAATCGTCTGTTCCACCAAAAATAAGTGCAAAATTTTTACTATAATTCAAACTACTGGCCAACGCAGACCCTACGTTAATGAGTCCACCGATGAAGCTGATGAAACTTCTGTAGGAAACCTCAGTAGACCATTGACGGGCTGGAAATTTCTGATTGCAATATAAATGATCTGCTGCCTTAGCACTATCGCTCTGAACTTGAGGGCTCAGGGATCCCTGTTCGCTGAGCCCCTCCCACCTCATGGTACCGGAAATACAAACTGCAGATATTTGCCCAGCTGGAGCAGATATTGGGNCGGAAGGGGGGGGGGAGGCAGCTGAATTGTGTCTTAATGTTCAGATCATCGATCAAAACGGCGTTGCTGAACTTGAATCAGTACGACGTCAGACGCCTTAATTACGGCGCTTACGCCTACTCTCTTTGAGCCTATACTCCTAAGTAACCGAAAAAGATTGCGACTATTCAATTAATGCAAAGGGGTGTTGTTCCCGTTCAAACCACCAATAGTATTCTTGGAGGATTCTTCTTTTGAATAAGCGCATGAAAAAAAGCAACAACGCACGTTGTGCGTCTCTTTCTCTCGATTCTGTTCTCATGGTTTAAACAAAGACGAATGGAGTAAGGAAAAGTAAAACTTGGTTACAATGTGCTATTATCTGGTAACTCACCACACAAGCTCAATGACTGTGTCTGAAATGCGAGGTGGTCCAACACGGACGGCAATATTTTCGAGCTGAGTTCACCAGGAACTGGTGAGTCTCCGGACGGGTGCACTTGCGATGATTCTGGAACCATGTCCGTCATGTTCCCTGCTGCGGATGCAGTCATCGCCGCCGCAGATGACAAACGTGCGGAGCGTCGGCGCGTGGAGCGCACTGAATGAGGAGCAGCCTTCGGTTCAAGTTCCAAGCAACATTGATGCACGAGACGGAGCAGAACGCTAGAAGACAACATGAACCGGGGTGATGATAACCAAAGTAAACAAAGAGGAAAACAACAGTATGAATGATAAGTGTTATAGCGAAAAATATTTGAGTAAAGCAGAAATGCCATCCTCTATACTTAATTTGTGTCAATAATAAAAGTAGTACTGAATTCATAGTGTAACTCATAAAACTTTCATCTTAACTAACTGTGTAGGCTGTTGGTTAGGGTCATTGCGATAGCGGCGCTGCGGAAGTGAGCTTGACTTCTCAATCTCCTGCATTGCGCCTCAGTCTTAGCCTTTGGCTACAGCCTCTTCCTAAAAGCTATCTGCACAGTAATATGTATATTTAATAAAAATATTTTTAAAAGAAAATTTACCGTCCGATGTTTTATTCACAACTGGTGTAGAGCATAGGGATACGATGATTACAGCATATTTCACACCCGTCTGAGTCAAAACTGTGTGCCACACAAATAGCGGTACAATAATCTTTATAAAAAAGAAAAATGATGGACAGAAGAAGATGTTTCTTCAACGATCTGTAAAATGAGTACACGCAACAAGTTGTACAACAGTGAAGAAAATACGGTGAAAAAAAACAAGCAAAAAAGCAACACAGGAACAAGACTTGGTCAGACAAACCAGAGGGAACGTCAAACACAATATGTGGGATGGGGATATCACAGATAGATACTCCAGAGTATTGCATGGAACGACCAAAAATGCATAGTAGTGCGATATGGTGCTTCCGCGTTATTGATTCAAGCGAAGTGAGACGTAGCAGCACCAAGCAGCCACGAATGACTGTGAATTCAGTGTGTCAAAAAAGCTTCGTTTCAGAGCCAACAAGTTCTAGGTTTATCCCTGTATGACACCTGAACTAGATCCGTTTAATGGGGGACTATGGCACCCAACGAGTGTTGTACAGATAATTAATCATGCCAGAGCTCAAATCTGATGATGGCAGCGAACGCGTATGTGAACTTACGTCGTGTGGAAGCCCTTCACACTATTAGCAGACCAAATCGATGACATTAATATACCATTCTATATGACGCTCAAATTTAATAATAAGTTAGGGTCACTTATGATTGTGAAGAAAAATAAATCCAATACCGATGAAGACTGCGAACACCAGTCAACGCAGTCGCCTAAAGACGACTTACGCAAAACGTCAACCACTAGCAAAAGCAAGCTCCATCGTGAATACAAACAATAAAAAACATTTGAAGTAGGTTTGCCCTCGCTCGATATGGGTGAGGATGAGATTGGTTTCGGGGAATATTTGAAGTACCACACTGGGAAAAGGTGACGTCTCAGGGCGAAACAACATTAGACCTACCTAAAAGTTAACGTCCGATCGACTGAGGAAAGCAAGAAACAGATCAGGCGTAGGACAGTCAAACGGCTTGCGTTCGAACGGAATTGCGTCCCACTCAACAGTCGACTATGTTCGGCCAACAAGAACAAATTGGTCAAGAGATTTTTGAAGCTATTCTCCTGAACCTCACGAACAAGAAACGGTTGTTCAAACAGCTTGGTTCAAGAAAAGAGAAAAACAGAACATGGAAATTGGAAGAGGTTCCTTTGAATGTAAAGTGACTTAATTAACCGTGGTATGAAGTGAAACGGGTTAGGTCGCGCTAGGAACAACACCTTTCAGCACAACATATCGCACCTGTAGAAATGAGGGACGAATAAATTCAACCCAAATAAACAGAAATTCCGTTTTAAGGTGGAACTGTTTCTCATCAGTTTGAGGGCGCAACCGTTAGCACAGTTCAGAGAAAATACAAAAATGAGAACTCAGCAGATAAGCAGCATTCGATACTAAAACTTCCTCTAAAACGCGTAAACTTATCAGCAATTAGACATTAAAACCAATCAATGCAAAACAATCGAATAGCCTCACAAGATACAGACTAAATGGACGCAAGACAACAAAGGTATGAGTTCTCTTGACGACAGGTCTTCTTCCAGATATAAGCAATTCACGATATGCGTCCAGTCTGAATCAACTTGTAACGAGGGTCACAAACTGACCACAAAAATCTCACTGGATATAAAAAGCACGATGACATGTCGACAACTATGCATTAGGGCTTTCTGACGTATAAAGGAGGATCAGGACAGTGGTCAAACAAAGCCACTGAGCTACATGCACAACACATTACTTTGTTTAACTGCACTGTATACTTCAGTAAAGCACTTATCTGTCGTGGAAGACACGGGGATTATCGGTGGTTAAACACCATTTTATTCACGAAATTGCAGGTGTCCGCTTGGAGGGTCGAATCTGCGATGCTTAATTGGACAGTTAAAATCAGGTCATGCATATGGAACTTGACTTCGACAGACAAAGAGTGATGATTGCTACATGAGCACATTCGGATGACTGCAACTGTAAATCAGGAAATTACCTCAGACTTGATTATTTTTCCGTAGCCTTGTATCGGGGACTCGCACAAGCCATCTGCATGTGACTGGATTCCTCCGATTATCCCCGAAATATGCACCCCAGAACTAACTCCCGTTCTCGGCCGCCTATTCTCTCCATCTCTGAAATCAGAGTATTCCAAAACCTCTGGAAAACACCAGAGACATTCATCATTTCCAAACGCGGTGGCCACTCAGATCCTGATAACCATCACTCCATCCCTCTCATATCAGTTATATCAAACGTTATGAAATCAATTATTGCCGACCAACTCCACGTTCAACTGGAGCAGAAAAAAGTTGCTCATTGACTGTCCATACTGTCTCCGGTCCCATCAGTCTGCCGGTGATTTTCTGGCGTTCAGTTCACATACATGATCGGAAGCACTCGATAGTCACAGAGAAACCAGCATGATGTCGCTAGGTACATGGAAAGCTTCTAATCGTGTCTGACACCTAAGTCTGTTTGTTGAGCAAACTAACCAAGTTTGATTTTCTTTGAGAACTTGTGTCCCGAACAGCACGCAACCTCCATTTGAGTCTATGGGATTAAGTCTCGCTTCGCGCCTGCGAATGCTGGTGTCCCCCAGGGTTCCGCATTTTCCTTCCAAGTTTTTCTGATATCTATTGATGAACGTCTTTCTTCGACTTTCAATTGTATTAATACTTTTGGAAATGTCGGCACGCTAACAAACGGTCCAAATGGCATTTGGCAACTTTAGATGTCTGTGGCGCCGTTGCGACATACGGCTGTCTGTGAACGGTCAAGTGTTTACCGCATCAGTTTGGCCAGTTCTGCCATATGGCGCAGAAACTTGGCCAATATGAAAACAAGACACAAGTAGTTTACCGGAGTTCGAACACTGCTATCTGCGCCGCATGGTACGAGTCTGGTGGGGAAACCGGACGAAACACAGTTTTAAGTAATCGCGGACGCCCATTGAGGCAAGCAGTTTCCACAGATCACCGTAGTTGGGACTTGTGTTGCGTATGTCATCTAACCAAGCCATGCGATATCTGCCGCGGGAGGTAGTGGATGGAAAAAGGTTGAGGGCGGTCAGACTAAAACCTAGCATGAGGGTATGAAAACGCTGACCAGGAAACTCGCTCACATATATGGGATGAAAAATAAAACTTAGAGGCTCCGCGTTTTATACCCCCACATTTTCTTAAACTTTCAGCTTGTATTCAGATGCATCATCGTTCATAATCGATTACACCAATCGTGAAACGCCGTGAGGTCGTTGACACACGATTTCTATTCCCGAC